TTTATACTTATAAATTTTAATAAATTCATATCTTATTTTAAATTTCAATTTTTCTATCTTATTTAAAATTATTTTTATTTTTATTTTATAAAAAAATACATAAAAAATTATATGTTAAACGGTATATTAATACAAATTAAAAATATAAATAATATGTACATATATAATATGCTTGCAATTAATATCACAAAATAATATATGTAATATTTACATAGATATTATATTATTAAATGTATAATTTAAAATTAATAATATACTATAAAAGTTATTTAAGCTGTATATATTACAAACAAATATATTAGAACAAGTAGTTATTGTTATATTTAATAAGACTCCTTGCTTTTCCATTAAGAGATTCAATTTTTATTATTATTTTTGTGGTTTATGGTCCCTTAAAAAATTTATTAAAAAAAAAAAAAAAAGTGGTTGGATCGGTTTGATCCACCGGTTCACCGGTTGAACCGGAAAATTGACCGGTTCAATCCAGTTTAAAACGGGTCGACTACATAACCGATCCAACTTAAGATTCGGATCAGCTGGACCACCGGTTCCCGGTCCAACCGGTCTGACCGGCCGGGTCGGTCCAGGTTTTAAAACACTGCTATAAAGTATTAGTACATAACCAGTTATACGAAAGTTAACAACTGATATTCTTTGCTAATTAATAGTTGAGTGCAAATTAAATCATATTATTATTGTATAGTGGATGAATATAAAAGTTAAAGTAGGTTGTGACATGTACGAGTAGAAAAAATGAATAAAATACAAACTAAGATATTAATATAATTCAAAACAATTTTGATTAGATGGGATAGGATCAAATTTAAATCCAAAATAATTGATTGATATATAAAATAAAAAAGATTTACGAGATTAACTCGAATTCATTAATTTTTTTCTTCAAAATTAATCCTACTCAATCAGAAAGAATACTCCTAATTTAATCTTTTGCGGTTTATTCTTCAATACGAAAAGTTTTGAATTAATAAAGAAAATAAGATTAATAAATTTTTTAATAAATAACTGATTATGATTTCATATAACATTTTTCTATATACAACTTTTTATGTATTTATATTTTTTATTCATATTATTATATTTGAACATTATGTTCAAATTTATGATATTCATTAATCAGTAAATTTTAAAAATATTATTTTAATATATGTTTAAAATTTTAAAATTTTAATATTAAATTTTATTAAAAATAAGAATTTATTGAATTATAATAATTTAAAATTTTAACA